AACAGTTTTTTGTGAAAATTTAATTTTTCACATATTGGCATTTTCAAGGTGTGACTTTAAAGTTCCATGATCTTGAAGACTTTTGCTTGTCACATTTTCTGAATGTCCATGTTACTAATATTTTATTAATAACATTTGATTGTCATTATGCTGTTAAACATTATGTAATGTTGCATCAAAATTTGAAGAAACCCCTATTTTGGGCACTGCTCCTATGATGACCATTTAAGGGAAATCATGTCACTTACTGTTCTCAAACTTACAGGAAAGAAACATGGGTCTAACATACAGCTTCAATAGGCAACGCAGTCTGTTTGGTAAATTTTTCTGGCAATTTAACAGTTTTTTGTGAAAATTTAATTTTTCACTTATTTGCATCTTTATTTTCTGTTCTTTGTCTGTACATTTGACAGCTTTGCTGCCTTGTTTTATTGTGGGAGGCTTATTTTGCGTGTTTTTGTTTTAATGCACATTAAAGTAGGCGAATCCATTTCTGCACCATACCGTAGGTAGCGTTTGGTTTCTAATGTACAATAACTTCCAAATTTAAATTTAACATGCATGCTGACTTCATTTTGTCTCGCAGTCATTTGACAAACAAATTAGAACGTTAACCGCGGTCGAGTTTACTCCGATTAAACCGCGGTCTACCAAACCGCGTCCAAACTGCGTTCACACTGACACCGGCTGCGATCAGTAGCGGTAGAATCTCAGCAAGCGTACTTCCTGTCAAGCATGCGCTCTTACTAGAATCTGTGAGACATGGCGGGCGCATGCGCTTCATATGTAGACATCCGGTCTTGACCGCGGTCAGGAGTTTACTCCGATTATACCCACCTCCCGATCTGGGTTTATTTCGACCGCGGTCAGGGCTACTTCGTCCGTTCACATTAGAAAAGTTAACCCCGATAGGACCGAGGTTAGGCCTTGACCGCGGTTAAAAGTGCTAGTGTGAATGGTATGTCCACATTAATGAATCATTTGTTTTGATACGGCCATGTTTGCCCCACCGTGCTATGTTTTAGGTGAAAGTTTACATATCTGCATCAGTGTTTAGTTGGGAGCATACGACGTGCACCTGCGTACGTGTCCTATAGTGGTTGTACAATGTATGATACAAAGGCATCACCCGTATTGTTCTAAGGATATTGTCACATGTACTCTAGGTCGATGGAAAAAATTCAATTTCATCTGCACTTTAAAAAGGTTTATTGCGTGCCTTTTAAGTAGGAACGCCTACCATATATTTACCAGTTTACCAACCATTAGAGGATTATCAAAGCAGCTCGATTGCGTTTAAATATTAATATACGAAGGTTATTGGGTGCTTCAAACACGAAAAAGACAGACTTAACTGTATAATCTTCTTCAGAAATGAATGTATACACCTACTATCACGCGCACCCCCCTCACATACGCACGCACGCACGCACACACGCACAGTCACACTTACTCTTCCATACATGATATTATTTTCTGTTTAAAACCAATAACCCCCTGGCGTCGTGGGTACAAATCTCTTAACAGTCTAGTCGTGCATATCTGACTACTGTTTAATAAGTGGTATAGTTTTTTATTTATATTTTCTGAGTGTTAGCTGGGATCTGCTTTATTGTCTTTGTATATACGTTTATTTATCGTACACGTACATATATATTTAATCAGACGCACGACAGATACTTAACACTCACTGCATGAACGAAGTGCTGTTACTGTCACTTTTTTGGCACGAGTTTTATTCGATTGATACATCATTCATGAAGCATTGATTGGTCTACGTGGCCTGTCAGGAGAGCTGGGTGAGTTATGATTTTTGCTGAAATAAGGCAATTTATTATCAGAACTCTCGGAGACCGCTGAGGATCCAGGCACCTTAAAAGTACATTTTCAAAGAAAAAAGCCCCAGTAATACGCCTGTTTTTCTCAGCATTGCTGTCTCTGTTGTAAACAACAAATATATTGGCATTTTCCTAGGGATGTTCTGTAACGGATCACCCATAATTGGCACCACAAAGTATACCTTTGGCGATGCGCGCGAGCACTGATGCCACGCAATTACAACTGTCATGATAGTAATGGTAATTATTATAACAAAAGTGTATCGAATGCTGTTTAGGGGCAAGTAAGGCTCTTTTTTAAGGCTCTCTCTGTTGACCGTTCTGCAAAACATGTTCTTCTGTCCTTATGGTGCACGGCGCTAGTCACCAGCAGAGCTCGGGTTTAGTCTTGGTGAGCCGCTCACTGTGTGCGGTGGTTTGACATAAGTTTGACATGTCGTCCCAAGCTCCATTAAAAACACAGAAGCGAGCTTTGCTGCCTCCCTTTTAAAGCCGACCTTATGGCCAGAGCTTTTGAACCCATGTATGCAAGCTTCCTCGTTTTCAATCCAACGTAACATTTACACTTTTGGAGCGCCATTTTGGCCTGCTCTTGCCATTAGTTTCACCAAACGCTCTGATCTGGAGTTGCAAGCTGGTGTCCAAGTGATCTGGATGGTCTCCAAAGTCATCTTTCTTGATATCCATCACTTATCGTCGGTCGCCAAGGCGTCTGTGAATGTATGGAACTGTCCAGAATTTTCCCAAAACACTTGCTAAAGTTGTGTGACTTTCAGACCGTCCCAAGGAATCCTAATATGGCGTAACAAGGTATCTCAAGCCTCAAGTCACTCTCCAATGGATCTCTAAGAGCGTATTCGCTACTCAGGTCTATTGGCATGATGATTGCCTAACCTTTGGGCAATGTTTCACTGGTGAGCATTACAGAGAGCTTGATGTTTGGTTCTTTTGTGATTGGAACCTCATAAGAACCACTCCAATTAGTATCACCACCTTATATCCTGTTATTTTACGATCCTGCTGGCGTTTTCAAATTAAGTGTCAGGCGACCAAGCCAAAATTCCAAGAGATCGACTTGGTGGTGTGTACAGGTTCCTGTAGAAACACCATGCGACCTTTGGCGAATCCTTCCAGCCACATGCAACCCTCATTGCAATTGTAGAGTCCATTGCAACTGAAGAGTTTTATTTCGACTTGTGAGGTCTATGGGAGGGTAACGTCAGTTAAACCGTGTTAAGCCATAGTGAGTTTTTTTGGGATGGTTATCGGTCGCAAGACATTTGTCAGTTGTAAATAGGGTTTGGGTTGCAGACTGTGGTCATGTTTAAACAAGGATACATTTAGATGACGAAGGAGAAGAAAGATCAAGAGTTGTGAGAGTTAGTATGTTTGTATTTGCCGTCGTCGTGGAAAGGTCGGGCGATAGCAGCTAATTTGGTTGAAGTTTACAGCTCCAATCAAAACGCGCATGTACTTATCTGGATTTCACGGTTCCGGGGAGGGACACGTGACCTGTCTACCATACCCGATTGGAGTGGTCAACTTCAAAGAAACGCC